ATACTATATGATACTGTATGTTTTAACTCGAACAGAGCCATTTTATTTACACACAAAGCATACTTGGTAAATAATGACGTTTAATGACGTCGATAAGGTTTTCGGTGTGAGGCTGCGAGCTATATCCACCCTGAAGGTTATTCTTGGGCAATATCTCATGATCAGCTCTTTTAAATGAAACCAGAGAGCGTTGACAGAGAGAAGGTAGAAATGACTCAGCCTGCAATTGAAAATATGGATGTAGGACAACAGAGCTGCTTCATGGAAGAAGAACCTCAGCTTAGCCTGTTGGCTTTAGTGTTAGTGCGGACGCTGTATTGCCTTATGCATTAGCTCGGAGCTAGCGAGACAGACAGACAAGCTAAACTGAGGTCCTCCATCCACATTTTCAGTTGCAGGCTGTCATTTTTGCGTTCCCCTKTCTGTCATGTGGATGGTGGACCTCAGTGACAAGAGGATAATGTGTAGCGCTGAGCTAATACAGGTGATAGCYTCAGCACTAGCGCTAAGGCTAACAGGTAAAGKTGRGGTTCTTCTTCCATGAAGCAGCTCTGTTGCTACAAACAAGGCCTTACACTCTGCTCATCAGAGGGCAGAGTGAAACCACCTGCACCTGCTTAAACTGCATGAGCTCAGCAGCAGCAAATCAAAGGGGAGAAACATATACTGTACATACAGACACCACTGCATGTGACATCCTCCATCCATATTTTCAGTTACAGGCTGAGTCATTTCTGCCTTCTCATCTTTGTCGACACGTTCTGGTTTCATTTAAAAGAGTCGATCATCAGATATTGTCCAAGATTAACCTTCAGGGTGGATATCGCTCGCTAGCAGCCTCGCACCAATGACCTCGTCGACGTCATCATTTACCCAGTTTGCGTGTAAATAAACTGGCTCAGTCCGTGTAACACATTTTAAAAAATTAGTTTAAAAATTATAAAAACTAAACAGCCTAAGGTATTTTACAGTCTTTATTTTACAGTTAAAATACATGTTTATCAAATAAAGTCCAATGTTACAACTAATCTGAAATTTAAACTGTATTTTACACTTTTGTTTCATGTTGCTAAAAGCCCATCTAGGGAAGTGCATTGCAAATTAGCGCTAGCTATAAATGTTGTAGTGTATAGTATTGTTAATACTTGACACTTGTCCCTATTCAAATAAACAATAAATGAAATTAAATGAAATCGTGGATCCCTTTAAGAGAATTTCAGAATGGAACACACCACTAACGCTGCTATTGGAGCTGAAGATGCCAAACAAAAACATCAGTGTATAATCAGTAACGTATAAAACACCAAACTAACCAWGAGGTGTGGAAGCAGAAAATAAAGGCTTTAATGCCATTTTGTCTTCAGTGATTATCATCGGTTTTCTATTTGTTTGTGCTCTTCTGCCCAAATCTTTCTCAGCTCTAAGACATTGTTGGTCTACCTTTCCTTCTCTCTCAGGCCTCAAAAACACCTCCACCTCCACGCTCTCACCCCACTCTCCTGTTATCTCACTTCTTGTCCAAAATAGCCCCTTTGAGCGCTTACCTTTCAGTCCCAATCATTTCATACCCACAGTCTTGCAGTGATTTTCATTTTAATTGCCTTACAGCACCACAGGATGCAATGTGCTGTCCTCAGTTTGGAGTCATGTGTCTCCACTGCCACCTCTTTTTAAACACCCCCTTCGTCAGATTTTTTTTCCCCTTTTCCACCTACAGACCTTCAATTTTCACCATCTTTATTCAGTACCAGCTTTCTCCCTTATTCTTGTTTATGCTCAAGGTAACACAAGCACCCCCCCACACATCCTCACAACTTCTAGCATTCTGTTACTTGTTATTCTTTTATTTATCTGTAGATTTGTCAACAATTTTCAAACATTTTGTATTTCTTTTTTTTTCATTCACAGCTTTTAACCACTGACCACCTACACTTTGCCTTTTAGTCTTTTCTACTGCTTTCCACCCCTCATCCATCTTGATCTGTATTTCATTCCTCACTTCTACCCTCACAGTGTTTTTCCACTGTGACTTTCACTGTTAGACATGTTATTTTATATTTCACTTGCAGGAGACAAAATCCTTGTCACAGATACACTGGATGAACAAAAATGTACTGAAAACTCTTAATTTAAAGTGGAAACACACACACACACACACACACACAGACACACACACACACACATTGTACAAATGCACTGTATTAAAAACATTCTAAAGCACACATTCAGACTTTTTAATGCCACAGGGATGATTCTGTTGACAGAGCAGAAATAAAGCCAAAAGAAAGAAAAAAGAACGGAAAGTGGAAAAACAAACAAAGTGTCTACAAGAAAGAGCTTGGGGAGACAGATTTATGGTGCTGAGACAGGCAGAATAAAACATTGTATGCAAGCATGCATGTGTGAAAAAGAACATTAGAGCTGTATAACGTGACAGCGGTTCCTAAGTGACCTGGGCTGCACTCAAGCAACTTAATGAGTTTAAGGTACCACTTTCCAATAAGGCTCCTCTCATAGACGGCTTATAGTTTATAGATAGGTTATTAATTCATCTGGAAACACTTTATAAATCATTAATAAATGTTTATTATACAATAATTAGGAATGAGAAAGAGACAAAACTGTCAGTTTTATTTGCCAAATAGTGAGCCAAATCTGTTCATATTACATCTAAAGGTGCTATATTAAATGTTTCAGACTAGGTTTCTACTATATAAGCACAATAATGATTAATTATGAGTTCATTCCTAAAGTAGTTGACTTGAAAGTTCAAGTCAAAGGAAAGTTTATCACTAAATCACCTTTAAAAACATCAGCTGACCAAAGTTCTGTACAAGCTGAAAGCACAAAACAGTGTATGTTGTGTGTTTATCCACTCATAACTTCTGCATGACATGGTGTCAACATTTTGTTTTCATATTTAAAGTGTTTATCTATGCAAGTTAAGTATAACTGATTTGTATATATA